GCATCCATTGGCTTTGAACGCTTTAAAGTAGCTGCATCTATTGGCTTTGAACGCTTTAAAGTAGCTGCATCCATTGGCTTTGAACTCTTTAACATAGCTGCATCCATTTGCTTTGAATTCTTTAACATAGCTGCATTCATTGGCTTTGAATGCTTTAAAGTAGCTGCATCCATTGGCTTTGAACTCTTTAAAGTAGCTGCATCCATTTGCTTTGACTCTTTAACATAGCTGCATCCATTTGCTTTGACTCTTTAAAGTAGCTGCATCCATTGGCTTTGAACTCTTTAAAGTAGCTGCATCCATTGGCTTTGAACTCTTTAAAGTAGCTGCATCCATTGGCTTTGAACTCTTTAAAGTAGCTGCATCCATTGGCTTTGAACTCTTTAAAGTAGCTGCATCCATTGGCTTTGAACTCTTCAACATAGCTGCATCCCTGTCCTTTGAACTCTTTAAAGTAGCTGAATCTCTCCTTTGGGAACTCTTCAAAGCAGCCGCCTCTTTTTCCTTTCCTGGAAAATAGGAGTTGCTTCTTCCTAAGGATGTAGAGGGGGACTTTCCAGAAAGAAAACTAACCGGGACTTTGGTTCCTTCCTCGCAGGACTCGGCGGAGGCTTTGGCTACGTCGTGGGTGGAATCCACTGGAACGGTACCGCCTTCGGGAAGGCCGTGGGGGGGCAGCTGCGCGTCATCTACATCTTCACCTCCATCACCCTGACCCTGGCCACCATCTTGACTTTGCTCAGCATCCCCGAACGCTCCTTGTTGTCTTCCGGCAAGCAGAAGAATATCATGAAAAGCCCAAATCTGACCCTCCCTCCTTCTCCGCCGCTCCTGTTCGAGGAGTGTCCCCCGGACAGCCCCGCGGGGTCCCAAAACCCAGTCCGTATGTACGCCAACTTCACCAGCCCCATGTCTCCGCTCAGCCCCCTGACCCCGAGGTACGGGAGCCTGATCAGCTGGGACAGCTCATTGACGGGGCTCAATGATTTCGCCTCGTCCTTCGGCACCTCGAATATCGACAGCGTCCTGATCGACTGCTTTACCGGCGGGACCGACGGCTACCTGTCCATCCCGGGAAGCTTACCGGGGCAGGGGGTCAGCGTCAGCCTGCCCCGAGCACCGGAAGGGTTACACGGTCTCGAAAACGGCGCATTGGAGAGCAGAGAAAACGGCGGGGAAGGGCTGAGGGTGGGCTCCTTGGACGGGATGAAGCCCCGTTCGTCGGGGATCCTGAAACGGCCGCAGACTTTGGCGATCCCAGCTATCACTACCGGGAATCTTCCGGAGAGCACGAGGCGGAGGAACGTCACGTTCAGCCAACAGGTGAGGTGGGGAAAAAGGCAGCCAGGCTCACTTGCTCGAGCCTCCCGTCGTTGCTCCGTGCAAAAAAATGCATCGTGGCGGTAAGCGCCGGGAAAAAGGTGAGACTGTGATGGGGAAGACAGGTTTTTAAAAAAGGCCGAAATGGATTCCCCCTAGCATTCCTCTGTAGAACCTCCATGCTTCGAAGCAGTGTACCCTTGAATAGAAGGAAATGCTAAAGAAAGTATTCATAGGAGATTATCCTTATGTTCTTTGCTCTTTGCTTCTCAGTTTTCCTACATTCACAGGTAAACAAAATGGTTTCCAGGCCTCTGATTCTGTATAATCAGCCAAAAGAAATGGTGGTTCTGTGTTTTCTTTCCTTCCTTCCCTCTTTCTTTCTTTCTTTCTTTCTTTCTTTCTTTCTTTCTTTCTTTCTTTCTTTTTTTCTTTCTTTCCTTTTTCTCTTTCTTTCCTTCTTCCTTTCCCTCCTTTCTTTCCTTCTTTCCTTCTGTCTTCCTTTCTTTTTTCTTTCTTTCTCTTTTTCTTTCTTTCCT